ATGTGTATAAGAGACAGGGAGAGGGAAGGGCAAGGGGGAAGAGAAGGGACGGGAGGGAAGAGAAGGAAAGGGAAAGGCGAAGGGGAACGAAGAATAGGAAGGGAAAGAAAAGGAAAAGCGGAGGAGGAGAGGGAAAGAGGAAGGAGGAAAACGAGAAGGAAAGGGGAGGGAAAAGGAGAGGAACGTGAAAGGCGGGTGAAAACAGAGGAAAGGGGAAAGAGAAAAGGGATGGAGAAAGGAAATATTGAAACAACGGGAAGGGAGATGGGAAGAGAAGTGGAAAAGGAAAGGAGAAAGGGAAAGGGAAGGCAGAAAGGAAGACGGTAGAGAAAGGGAAGGGGGGAAGTGAAGAGGAAAGAGAAAAGGAGAAAAAAATGAAAAAGGAAAGAGAGGACAGGAAAGGGGAAAGAGAAAGGGAAGAGAGGGAAGGGGAAAGGAAGGTTTGCCTGTAGCACAAAAAAATCTGCACAGCCCCACACCCCAGATCAGCCCGGTCTGCCCTGGCCCATCCCAGGGACAGGTGCCCTGGCACCACCCGGTGCTGGAGAAGAACAAGCACAAGGTGACCTGACTGCCAGGACAGGGACATGGTCACACTCCCAAATCCCTGGGTGCAGCCTCCTGGGACCTGCCTGCCCACATCCCCCAGAACAGCTCACTTGGGCATAGAGGGGCTGGAGACCATCCTGCACCACTCTCTCCCACACCTCTCGCTGGGGAGAGCCTCCTTCCCTTGATCTGGGAGGCGATGGGGGTGGGAGGCTGCTCAGCTTTGTCTCAGGGGTGGCAGGGAGGTGTCAGGACTGGGGGGAGTGCAGCCGCTGGGGGCTAACACTGCCTCTCCTCTCTGCCAGGGGCCCGTGTTGGAAGGAGATCTAAGATGAAGTTATGGGATGTTGTGGCTGTCTGTGTGGTGCTGCTCAACACGGTCTCCACCTCGCCCCTGCCCACCGGTAAGACGCCTCCCGAGGGGCCCCCTTCAGTGGTAGAGGGGCCTGAAGATGATCTCTCCCCCATCAGCCTGCTGCCTCCCTATGCTGTGCACAGTGACTGTAAGAAACATTCCCCTTTCTAGCCACTGCTGTTTGTCTTGCTAAATGCGCTCCCCTTTGCTCAGGCATCAGGATGAGGAAAGGACCCCCCACTTTTTGCCCCCACTTCTCCCCCGGGCAGGGTCACTGGCTCTGGTCTGGCTCTAGCAGCTCCCAGCCAAGTCATTCTCCAAAGCTTGGGGTTGGCAGTTGCAGCGGCAGTGCCCCTTCCCCCCCACCCCCCAGCCCTATCTTCCTGGCAGTTGTAAGATCCCTTTGGTTGAAGAACCAGGGGAGATGGGAAGGGTAGTTGTATGCAGAGGAGCCAGGAGGCTGATCAGGTACATACACCTCCCAGTGCAGGCACTGAAACTCCTTCCCCACCTCTTCAGCCTCCTCTCCCTGCTCAGACCTGCCAATTCAATTATTTGCTGTCTGTAGTGGGCACAAGTCCTGATAGAGATGGGGCTTCATGGTGGGAGGCACTCTGTACACATCCTGGAGTGCTGCTGGGTTTCATTAAATCCCCCTTGGATCCTGATCCCAAAATTAGTGTGTCTGCATGGAAATTTACAGAAGAGTAGTGGTGACAGGGTTAGGAGCTTGATGCAGAGCAATCCACATGAACCAGCTCGCAGTAAGACAGCTTACAATCCAATGACAGATAATAATAATGCCTCACTAATGATAGGTCTCTTACAATAGCAGATACAAGATTTTCACAGTGGTGTGTGAACGTTACACTAACTCTGGTGGCTTTTTAAAGTCAGAGTTAATATGACTCAGTAAGAAGTCGCAAAATACTCACATGGATTGTGGAGATGTTCACTTAACAAAGGCACAGACACAGCTTGGAGGTTGCTCCATTTGCCCTTGCTCAGCCCTCTCTGTTTAGCTCATTGCAGGATGCAGGCAGTATCCAGTAATTGGGATTCATTTTTATCTCCTTATCTGGAGGCATGTCCTTTCCCTGCGCCTGCTGCAGCTCCAGCCATGGGCAGCCCCGCTCTGGTTTCTCTGGGAGCAGCCGGGCTAACGCAGCGTGGAGGCGCAAAGCAGGGAATCGTGTGCCGTGACTCCGCTTTCGTCCCCTCCCGAACACCCATCTCGTCTTCTGCACACACATCTGTGCCCTTTCGCATTTAGTCTTCTCTCCTTTTCTTGCTTGTATTTACCCCCTGCTGGAATCTTGCCTGGGCTGCTGCCTCTGCCCAGCCCATCCCAGGCTCCCGCTGCTCGCAGACCGGCAGCCCTTCTGATGTCCTTTCAGCCCCTCCATGTAGGGAGGTTGGCCAGAAGTGCTTCCTCACAGGGCTCCAGCCTGCTATCACATGCAGTGATCTTCTCCATGACGAGTCTCGTGCAGGATAGGTACTGTCCTATGAAAGGCAGTGATCAGCTTTTCAGGCCACTGTGCTCGTTTCCCTCTGCACAGGCTTGCTGCAGTGCCAGTGACAAGAAGAACATTAGGGGAAAGCAGCACCAGTCAGTTTGTAGCTCAGGCAGAAGCTACAGAGGGTTGATGCTCCATCTTTCTGGGGTTATAGTATTTGTATGATGCCTGCTTTTATCTTGAAACTTAATTCTGGGAATACGGTTCCAGGTGAGCTGTTCCCTCCACAGAAGCTTGAGGGGACAGGCAGCAGTAGTGGTCTTGTCTGTTCCTAGTGTCCAAAATTTCACATTGTTGCCTCTGTTTTTCCTGTGGATTGGGTGAACAAGAAGTGAGAAGAAAGACGAACTTGTGTTTTACCTGAGCTGTGGCAGTATCAAGAGACAGCCTCTTCCAGATGTCTTTGTTTCCAGGGTACAGATGTAGGCTTTGCCAAGCAGAGCTGTATCAGAGGTTATTGCCCAGGATAGTCATCTGAGAAAGGGCTGATAGTTTGATCTCAGTCTCTGAACCCTGCACGTCACAAATGGATGGGTCTGGCTGCAAGGGGAAAGTAAGCAGTGCTGTTCTTCACAACAGAAATAGGGGAAAACCCGTGGAGTTTCTGTGGTCTTTACATGGCAGTTTATGCAGCACCCATGCACAAAAGTCAGAAACTCCACTCCACTACAAGTCAGATGAGTCAGGGGAGACCTGCAGAGGGGTGGCTGTTAGAGAGCAGTGAAATCCTTTGATCCACTATTACACCACTTTTAGTTGATTTGAATGTGTGTGGTGTCTGGAGAACAGTCCACAAACACAGAGCCCATAAGGCTGATCCTGCCTGGGCACATGGCTGCCTTCCCACCACAGCAGCGCTTTGTCCAGTTCACCACTGTCAATGTCTTTGACATACTTGTTACTCACCACTTGCCATTTGGTGGCACACACCCCTCAGCACAAAGATACGCAGCGATTTACACGGGAGGAGTCACATCTACAACATGTAGACTTCATCTCCTCTTCAGGGTTTCTCTTACAAGAGGAAGGCAATGTGCCATGAGCATGCAAGCATGCTTGCAGCTCCCCAGCTCACCTGGGACCTGCTGTGTATTAATATCTCTGGATACCGTTGGTCAGCTGCTTGGCTGAGGGCCTTTGCCGGGTGCAGCTCATGAAGCGGTGGGAGCACTGTCATTGCCCACGTTGGCTCATCTGTGTAGGGAGTGTGTGGGTGCTGAGCAGGACCGGTTGCTGTGTGCATTCAAAGAGGGGTGTACTGCTCTCCTCCAGAGTGACCCCTCCATGCAGGCTGGGTTGGGGAGTAGCAGTTGTGCTCCAGGGCTCTTACTCCAGAGAGGTTGGGTCTCTTACACAGTGCCTGCAGCAGGGCTTAGTAGAGTTGTGAGATCAAGTCTTGCTCCTAAAGGCAGGCCAGACACCTTGCTGGAACACAGATCTGTTTTCCCAGGCCCTTGAAACCTTTTTGTACTCTCATTGCTTGAGATTGCTTTCTCTGCAAAGAGTGCTCTGAGGTCACCTGATGTTACCCCATCCCTTTCAGACTGGCTCGAAACCTTCCTCCGTTCCAGCTTACAGACAAGGTCCTAACCTCCTGGGCTGATCAGGTGTAATGTGCTGACCTTTGCTGTTGAGGGCAGTAATTAGAGATGGCAGAGAGTGTTGGCAATTGCAGTCTTCTGCATTTTTTAGTGGACTGTTGGCTGGAGTGAGAGTAGCCCCCATAAGTGCAGTGCATTTAAGATGAATCCAATGTGCATAGGTGTTTTAGGCATCAGTATTCATGGGACAGCTTATTCCACACAAGTAAGAGTAGCTGTGGAGTTTGTAAGGTTAGAAAACCCTTTATTTGTTTCCTTCATGCTACAGTCTGCTGGGAGAAGGACACAGTTTGCTTAAATAGCAACTGTGAACAGAACAAATACAAACTGAATTTTTATAATCTAAATACTAAGTCAGCAGCTTCAGAAACATAACAATGCAGAGGGAGCCAAACACGTGGTTTGACTTACACACGCATTTCCCAGAGAATACATTTTGTAACTGCTTGCTGCTGTATGGCCATAATCAACATGTATATGAGGACTGGAGTATCCTAAGATCCAGGATATCATATATATAGTGTCTTCATCAAGTCATCATCTTTTGTAAGAACTAGTGGTAAGCATGTGGAATTAAACGAAAAATTTCATCACGGGCTTTTCCCTCCTAATAGGAGGAAAAGGTGGGGGTTTTGCATTAAAATGTCTGAGTTGCTCTACAGCCACTGGATGGTCATTTGTTGTTGGAGCTCCTTTGGTATGTTTGTTATGCTATAATACACCATGGTATGTGTAAGTTATACCTCTGTTAAAAATTCTTCATACCCCTGCTAAGGGGTATTTAATGTTAAGTTACTGTATTTAGCTGCAACAGTACCAACCAATATGGAAAGTATCTAGAATAAACAGTGATATTATAGGTCTCTTTAAGGCAAAACCAGTATTAAATTATATTTCCAACTGAATGCATTTCCTTCTGTACAATATTTATTAGGCACATTCAATGTTAGGAACCACAACTCTCATGTTTTTATCCAGGCTTTCCTGTTCAGCATACCTACGGTGTGGCAAAGGCGCTTTAGTCAAAGACGCCCAGAAGCCACAGGGGTAACCTGGCCATGCACAGTAAATCCAATGCATGGAGAGGTGTCTGCCGCATCGAGCAGGTGCCACACTGCGTCATTTGATCTGTGTGTATCCAGTGTAGCCGGTGCATCCAGCCAGTGTCAGAGCAAGCGTGCCTGTGTCCCTGGGCCAGCATAGATAATGTTTGTCTGCATGAGCACACCCAGGTTATTTAGGCGTTTAGAAATTTCAAGCATTCGAGTTTGCCCATTCACGGGCATGGTTCTAGAAAAAGAACAGGACAGTTCTTGTTAAATGCAGATGCATGTAGCCCTAGAAGCTGGTTTCTCTGCAGTCTCAGGTGTAAATACCGAATATACTCTTGTGAAGGGTAATCTGGGTTTTAAGGAGGAAGGGACTGAAATGCAAGAAAATACAGTTTTATTCTCATAAGCCTTTGTTTAAAGTTTTATGGTTTTGTTGCTTTTCAATTTAGGGACCTCAGCAATTTCCCAGTGGAAATGTGATCCTTTTAGATGTTTTGCAGGTGTGGGTTGCTAGATAACATACCTGACCGTGCTTTTCTTGGTCACCTTTCATAGGCCTCTTCAAATTAATTTAGAAATCCCTGTGTTCAGGGTCTGCAGATGACGGACTGCAAAACCCTTCTTGAAAGGCTGAAGAGTTCAGCTGTGAGGTGACTGGTGAATTGACAGGGGAGGCATTATTTGTCCACTAGAGGAGGATCCTCAGATTGATAGGTTGTAAGTCTGTAAAGTGCACTGTTCCTGATTCAGACTGCATAAAGCAGGTTTAAAATACTTAAAGTTACAGAGGCTGAGAGAAGCCATTGGGGTCATTGGGTTCCATCCCCCACAACTGCTGATGGTCAGGGATCAACATCTAGTGCACATACGCAGTCTTCATTCTCCATGCAAACTATCAAGCAACTGCAGCTTAAAACTTACAGTATACAGGCCAAATCCCACATAACTACACTTGTGGATTCTCATGCTTCTGAG